ATAGCAAAACCCTTCGGCTAAACAGGATTCTGATTATCATACTGAGCGAGATCAAAATCAGGGGAGTTTCTGCAAAGTGCATTAAACCATATTACCTGTAGCACTATTTCATGACCTAAACATCGCACACAGACACTTATGTAAGGGACCTGTCGTTAATTACAGGGGGGCTGGTGGAAATGAAAAATTAGATGCTAAAATTTTGTTGCCCCCCCCCTTGAGAATAACACAATTATACTTGACCACCCCCCCTCCCCCCCCCACACACATGCAAATAACAAAAGGCACATTCGTAATTTAAAGTTCTTATAAAGCCACATTTAATCATACTACCCTATCATAGTTGCCAACATTGGGAATAAAACATCCGTGAGATTTTGCTTTGAAGCACCCACGAGGCACCACCATAGGTGGCGCTGAGCGGAAAAATGTGAAAATATGGAGTCTCTAGATCGTTGGAAATGGCATTTTCAGAGTCTTCTATACCTTATACATACAACTTTTGGTAGCTTTTCTTTAGATATACAAAACCATATTGTTGAATACCCACGAGTACGAGGTTTCATGAAGTGATGTTTTGATTATCTATTTTTGGCTGAATGACGTGAATTGTTTTTAAAGAAAAATGTTTTATGTAATTTGACGCAAATGAAGTCACTCTTAATAGTTAAAATGTGCAACATTAAGCCAACATATTTAAGAACCAGTTGGGTTATTTTCGTAATCCGTGAGAATCCGTGAGACATATTAACAAGTTGTGAGCTCACTGTGAGGTTTTAGTAAAATCTGTGATGTTCATGGTGGATCCGTGAGAGTTGGCAACTATGCCCTATGTACATGTATTGTAATTTATATATTCTTTACCATTTATTGGGTCATCGGCTGTTCCAATGTACATGTTTATGTTGAAATCAGTTTAATACATTGTGTTGTGTTGGAGTTTACTACAATTCTACTGCTCTCTATTTTTATCTTTTTATCTGAAGGTTTTATGGTACAACAGGGTCATGTGGGGCAGGTATTAATATTGCAAAAAAAATTTTGCCCCTCCCCCTTTTTTCATGCACAAAAATACCTGACCCTCCTACTTTCCCACCAGCCCCCTTCCCCCTCGTCCCCTGTACTTAATGACCGGTCCCTAAGTTTTCTACTCACATTGGTCGTTCAGACATGCACCTCCCGCCGTGGGAGCGGCAGATCAAAGTCATCAAAGTCATCAAAGTCATCAAAGATCAAAGTTATGGTATTGTGTCAATGTTTCTGACGAAGTTCTTATTATATTACCAATATATATTTAATAGCATTAGAAGATATCAGGGTCGTAGACAAACAGTAGAATTGTTGTAACTGTACTACTGTATAATTACTGTACTATTAAGTGTAATTAGTGCAAGTGTAAGTTAAGTGTAAATGTAAAGCAATTCGAATTCGAGAATGTTCTGTACACGATCGCTTGTATATATTGTAATTATATTTTCGCAAAATTGTATATATTCTTGTGAACAAGCTAAGAAAGTTTACTGGGTAATAAATCAGCTTATTTTAACTCTTCATTTATTAGTGTCGCTGATCAGCGAACACGCGAATGTAAACAAATAGCTAAAAATAGGCCCAATTTGGAGATTTATAACTTTTCAGAATATTGCTTGCAGACGAGTTTTATTCCTGATTACTTAACTTTAGTAGGTATACTTTCAAATTACATGCCTCTTGAACTTCAGATAGGTGCCACTTTTGAGCTATTTTAAGTAAAATATGAGCAATTTTCAGCCTCTCGTCGCCATCTTGAAAACATAGTTTCGTAAAACTATAAAAAAATCGTATTAATAAGCAAATAAAGTTGTTCAATCTCCATGAAAACGAGAGTATTAGCGTTAATCTTGCATGTGAACAGTAACTGCAGGGGATAAACGCACCAAAACGTTTTTAAAAAATCGATGAATTCTTGTAAAATTCCCCTTCATTTCCGGTCTGAAAATACTCTTGCCAGGTCAAATTTCAACATGGGCTATATATAACTCCTATAAAATAGAAAGCTGAAACGTTCTGAAAGAAGCTCGATTAATATTGACCAAAGTCTAGTTCATATGCAAAATATGAGCCTAAATTGTGAACTGACACACAGCAAACTGACTACAGTTGTGAACTGACACACAGCAAAGTCTAATGTCTAGTATAAACTAAAATCTTCAGCCGACTAAACAAATGAATTAATAATAATAAAGTAATCAGAAGGTGATTAACAATAGTATAAATTGAACTGAGGGGAGTGCAATTTGGACTGAAATCAAACGCGTAATTACAAAATCGCACGACCGCGAAGCGGGAGTGCGATTTGTAATCACAAGTTTGATTTCAGTCCAAAATTGCACGACACGAAGTTCGACCAGACACAGTACTATATCAGTAGTGCAAGTAATCATGAATATACTTTTATAATTATAGAAAATGATATAAAACTCATTATTTCATTTATTTTATAAAAGGTCACTTGTTGTTGTTGCACTAAAATGCGCGCGGTGCCCGCCTACAAATAAAACGTTCGTTGTTTCCGCCTACAATACATACACAAGTAAAGTTATATTTAGCACGCTACATTCTCCTGTCGGCCGCCAGTTGGTTCGTACGTTAGGATCAAAACTGCGTTTTAAAGCCTTCAAAATAAAATATTTTGAGCTCAAAATACTATCAAAATGAGGAGAAAAGTAAGACGAATCTACTGGCATACGGCCGAAAAATAGAAAACCAACAATTCTGAAGTTATCAAGGACAAGGACCAAACGGACTGCATTTTTAATTAGTTTAATAATTTTGAAATTTGAGCGATTTGTCAACAATACAATTTCGCTTATTAAAACTTCACATTAAAACATTTGTGATTTGTAAGTATAATTTCTTACGCTGAATCGAACGGTGGTATTTTTGTCCTTATTGGGCGCATAAAACCAGAGATAAGGCGCAGCAAAAAGTCTATCGTGAGAGATTAATTCGAAAGAAAAGTTTCCTCGAAAAAAGGAATTCGGAAAACGTGAAGGATTATTTTGAACGGCTTTCAAAGGCCATAAATCGCTAAAATAGAAGTCAATTTTGAAATCAATTTTCCATCCGTAAATACAAGTTTTCACGCTGATTCGAACCGCAGTGGTATTTTTGTCCTTGTTTGATGCATAAAACCAGAGATGAAGCCGAGTAGTCGATCTTGAGAGTACAAGATTATTAATAATTAATTAATAAATTCCGCGCACGTGCAAGGAAATTTTAGTAGAAGATTAAGGAAACGTATTGATGCGAACACACTAACAAACGGACGGACAAACTCACAGGCAGAATATAATGCGGTGCCAAACATGGCACGGGCACCGCAATTTCCACTTTATTATATTCATTTTGAAATCTTAATTAAATATTTTTGTAAACCCGAAACGTTTTCGTTTGCAAAAGACACACCTCCGGTACCTCCCGTGTAGCATCATTGAACTATATAACATGGAAGGCTGACTCGAGCTCAAAAAGTGAAGCCAAACATGGCGGAAATTGAAGGCATTCTTGCGCGTCATTCTCAGTCCCCTTACGTGGGCGGTCAACTAAACTTTTATATTTTTCTTTATTTTCTGAGCAAAAATCTGGTGAAAATCAGACGAAATTTGAATGGAAAGTTGAATTCTGGAGTTTTGTTTGGGTTCAGTTCTAAATTTTAATTATTATTTATTTAAAAGATGCGATATTTGAGTGGAAAGGAAGCAAAATAGGGTGGGATTGTTGTTTTTGTAAATGACAAAGAGTGACAAAACAAAACACAAATGTCACTCAATCTTTCAAAATATCTCTATTGCCCCTATTGACAAGGTTTTCACACACATAAATAACTCATTAAAATAAACAGTTTAAGTTTAGAAGGCAATCATCAATTTAAGTGATTTTATTAAATATAAAATAAAAAAGACAAAATTTTCTTACATGTATGGAATTAAATTGGCTAACAACTGCCTGAAAACTGCAGTTAAAAAGCAGTTTTAGGTCAGGAATACGAACTAAAATAAGCTAGTAAATAATGATGTGAAAACTGAAAAGCATCATAGAAACACGAAAGCAAAACCACTAAAGCAAAAATAAATTCTCAATTTATAAAAATACAGATTTTATATTAAAAAAAAAAACCAAAAAAAGTTTGAAATTAGTTGTTGAATTCGCAACGAAAATCATCTGGATTGGCAAGGCAATCAAAGATTTTAAATGATAGATTGTAGAGTTATGAAATAACTTACAGGGCTTTCAGAGGGAATTGAATACAATTTATTGACCTAAATTTTACAGATATTGGTCCAAAAATAAGGCTTTATAAAATTTGCTTTTGTTGGCGTTTTTACCTGTTTACTATTTGAGAACTTTCAAAAAATTTTAAATTCTTTGCAATTCTTTGATAGTTTACTGTAGCTATCCATATTTTTTGTTTTTATGTGCCAAAAATTGCTTAGGCACTCAAGGGTAATCATGTAAATTTTTTTGTTTTTGCTCATTTGCCATATCACATATTTTTCTTAAAATTGATTGGCTGTTTGAATCCTATGATTAAATATGATTGGTTGGTTGAAGTCAGCACTCAAATGTGATTGGTCGAAAGAAGGTGCGATTTCAGCACGAATCGCACTGCTAGGAGTGCGATTCGTGCTGAAATCGCACTCCTGTGAATCAATCAGATTGCAGGAAACACCATTGATTTCAAAATGAATATAATAAAGATTATAATTTAAAAATTAATCTGAGGAAGATTTATATTAGTAATATCTAAATTAGTCTACAGGTATTGACTGATTAACATCACAGTCTAATTTCCAAGGAATAATCTATCTAATTAATTATTAAATTTTCCGAAAATGATAATTAAATCGATAACTTAATATCTTAAAATATTTTTAGTAATCACAGTATGATTATGTTCAAATAAAATCTTGCAATGAAAGTCAAAACTATAATTATATTAGCCGTATACTGTATGTTTAGGTCTGGTGCTATCACCAAGATCAGGAATTGAATTAGGAGGAACTAAAATGTTTATTGGTGGACCTTGTTATAAACCTAATGATCAAATTGTATGTCGGTTCAACAAGACTATTGAGGTAGCTGCTGTGTATGTCAGCCCAGAACTAGCATATTGTATCACTCCACCATTGTATGTTGTCGGTCTTATCCAAGTTGAGCTGTCATTGGATGGTGGTGCAACATTTAACTACACTGGCACCTTCAGATCAAGTGAGTTCACTTTTGAAGTTTTCTTTCAATATTTATTTTACTAATAATATGTTATGTTTATTAAGCTTGAATTTTATCAGTTAATGCAGGGCTTCGGTGGCGCAGTCGTCAGAGCAAGCACCTTTCACCTCTGAGATCGTGGTTTCGATTCTTGCTACGTACTCTTGTGAAACGAGTGGGTTAACGCTCTGCCAAAATTCGTGGGTTTTTCTCCGAGTACTCCGGTTTCCTCCCACAAGAAAGTTGACAGGCAGAGGTGGCTGTGAGATGGGAGGGGGGATAACAACCCCAATCATCAGTGAGTGACGTTGTAATGTAAAATAACAAGATATGTGAGTGACGTTGATTAAAAAATAATAACGATAGCTAAGATGTGGAGAAATTTACGAAAACATTAGCGAGAAATGGGACGAACAAAGGAAGTTTAAATGAAAATAAGATGAATAATATGATATCCGGAAAAACAGTTTTGGTCCACGTCGTATGATAAGCTTTATGGTCTATTTTCATCGCAACTTTGCGTAGTTATCAAAAAATTACTAGCCTCTGCCATACATAATTATGATTAAAGTTATTCATAAGAGTCACATGGCTGGGTAACCGCAACAGCAATCGCCAATTACAGCGGTCCCAAGTCGTAGGAAAGAAGAAAAGCAAGGTTATAATCTAAAACTGTCTGTACCAGTGTAGGTAGTACCAATGTAAAAATCTGTGCTGAGTGGTTATATTACACTCTTAAAAAATAAGCAGAAACTCGACGTTTCGAGTGAAGGCCCTTCGTCAAGAGTTAGTAGCAGGGATCGGGGAAAATGCACGGGCTTTTATACTAAGAGTATGAAAGCATCACGTGAGAAAAGATTAAATTAGATGAAAATAAAATAAACCAACTAGATGGATTTAATAATAACAAAGTGTAAACAAAATATGTAAATCGCATTACAGAATATAGAATAATATAATTAAAAATATAAAAATATACAGGAAGTTAAGACAATTACTACAAAAAATAATCAAAACAAAACACGAGTGGGAATAAGGTAAAAGTAATAAATAGAGGTTGTCAATGTCTGCTATAGACAGGCAAGGACAAATGGTATCATAGGCAATCCAGAAGACATGTCTTCTGGATTGTCTATGATGGCATTAAACATAAGAAAAGCGTTCATTAATGCCAGAAGGGTGAACAGTGCCAAGTTTGGATATGAGGCGCATTTCATGTCGTTTGCGGCTATCATTACTTCCAGAAATGGGACAGAGGGCTCGAATTACCATATCTGAAACACTGTGATTGCCATTATTAAAATGTCTGGCAACAGGTTGGTTAGCATCATTGCCAATAACTGCACGCCGATGCTCACCAAACCTTGTCCTTAAACATCTTCCAGTTTCCCCAATGTAAAGCATGCCACATCTGCTGCAGGAGATGCAGTAGATGAGATGGGAGGAGGCGCACGTGAAATGGTGCTTGATGTGAAATTCAGATTTAGCTGCCGAAACAATAGTGGTAGAATCTACAAAATCACCCGTTTTACATTTCGACGACAGGCAAGGAAAAGTGCCTTTCTGTGACATCGAAGCCTGTGCTAGGGAGCTATGGGCAAGGGTTTCACGGATATTTTTGCTGTGTCGAAAAGAGACTAAGGGGTTATCGGAGAAAATGCAAGATGTTTCAGGGTCGTTTTTTGAAATTGAAAGGATGATAGTTTAATACTAGGGGGATTTTGTTGTTGCCTGTGACATTAGACACAGGGTCTGTGAGGGTGTCAGAACGGGGAATTTGGGAGGCCTTCGAAAAGGCAGTGTCTAATAGAGAGGTAGAATAACCACGTTGGACAAAAAATTGTCTCATCTCCAGACTTTTGGCCTGAAAATCTTCGTCTTCACTGCAGATGCGGCGAAGACGAAGGAACTGAGAGAAGGGAATCGACCTTTTGGTGTGGTTGTGGTGGGAAGAGGAAAATAGAAGATAGCTATGGGAGTCAGTGGGCTTGTAGAACACAGAAGTAGGTAGTTTGTTACCATTGATTGATACAAGGATATCTACGGAATGATACACTGGTCTCACTGATCTCCCATGTGAACTGGAGTGCTGGATGAAAATTATTAACAAAGTTAATAAAGCGTTCCAATTCGACACGAGAACACGATGCTGTGCCAAGACAGTCATCTATTTACCTACCAAGGTAATCAGGGATGGGATCAGTGTACTGTTCGAAGATTTGTTTTTCCACAAAACCAACAATCAAATTAGCATAGTTGGGTCCCATTTTAGTTCCCATTGCTACACCATTTATCTGTTGGTAATGCTCACTATCAAAGGAAAAATTGTTAAGGGTAAGCACCAATTCAGCCAATCGGACCAAAACAGAAGTGGCCGGTTCCTGGTTAGGGCGTTTATCTAGAAAGAATTTGAGTGCCCTAAAACCATCATGATGCGAAATTACAGTGTATAAGGATTTGACGTCCATGGTGAAAATGAATTTGTGAGTGCCATGAAAATGAATGTTATGGAGAATTTGAAGAGCATGCTTGGTATCCTTGATATAGGATGGTAAGTCTTTAACCAAGGGTGCCATAACACGATCGAGAAAACTGGAGATGAGTTCGGTGGGACAACCACAATTAGAGACAATAGGTCTGCCTGGGTTGTCAGGTTTGTGAATTTTAGGCAGAAAGTACATGACAGGTGTACGAGGTGTGATGTGTATGAGGTTTTTGGCGGTCTCAGGGAGATCACCAATTTTGATAAAGTTATGAATGGTCTGAGAGATGTTGGTTTGATGAATGGAAGTCAAATGCTTGTCAACCCTCCTGTAAAAAGTGGCGTCACCCAATTGTCGGTGGGCTTCATTACGGTATAAATCAGCTCTCCAAACAACTAAGGCACCACCCTTATCAGCAGGTTTGATAACAATGTCATTACGAGCATGGAGTGATTGGAGGGCGCTAAATTCATTGTCAGTGAGGTTGGATGACCTTTTGGGCCTAAATTTGGGGAGTTGTTCTATATCATGTCGACATTGTCGAATGAATAGTTGAAGGGACCCATATTGGTCTTCTGGGGGAGACCAGGAAGATTTTTTGGGGTTGATAGCCTCAAAAACGTCCTTGTGAGGGACGAAGGATTGATTATGGAAATGTGCTTTCAGACGCAAGCGTCTGAAAAATGATTCGGTGTCGGTTTTAACTGAAAAAATGTCAAGGGACCTGGAGCTGGGAACACATTTGAGAACTTTCGCGAGGACAGATCTCTCAGAGTCGGATAGGGTTAAATCGGGAGGAATAGTTACATCTAAATTGGTACTATTAGCTGAACTGGTGTGGTTTGTGGCCGGCGAAATTGGGCGGTTGCTTAACAAAGAGTTGAACTTAGAAGCTTTGCTCGCTTCGAGGAAAGAGTAAAGTCTAGAATTCAACACGCGAATGAATTGGATGATGTCCTTTCTTAAGGTTATAATCTGAATTGTACATTTAGAATTATTGACATTAATATTTTTTGTTATTGTATTGGTGTATTGCCAAAAGCTAGGAAAATATTGGTGAAATGTTGGTTTAATAGACCTTTAGAAGCGCTTACGTCATTTTTAATAGAGAGGGCTTCTGGAATGCATAGTGCATTGTGGGATACTTTCAGACCAATAATTCATTGTTAGAAAATTACCTGACGTAACCACTTCTAAGATACATTTAGATGAAAATTGTATGATAGGGTTGGATGAAATTATTGGATAATGCATGATTGTAGAATTTATCCTTGTGTAATCGTCATTGACAGATGTTTATAGATTCTGAAGCGTAATTACATGTTTCTGATTTTAGTTCCTTTAGGTAGAAATCCTCCAGATATACAAGGGTTAGAAGTGGAACATTGGGCAAACTCGACTAAAACGGTCTTAACCTGGAATCAAAACGCAATCAACGAGTCACACATTGACATTGATATATCTCTGTTTGATTCCTTTGAGTTCCGTTTTCATCAAGCTAGTTTAGCTAGCTTTAAACACGTCCCTAACTCCGGGAGCTACCATCTTGATTTCAGCGAGGAAAATATTTCTTCGACGTAAGTACTCAAAATAAAGCACGGTGTTAAAAAATCATTATAGGACCATTACTAAATATTCCTAATTTTTAATTTTTGTGCACAAAACCGTTCATCATATTTTTTATTTTCTTAACTTCAAATATATGTCTTATTGAATGGTTTGACATATAAACCGACCGAGTATTTTACGAGACTGTGAGTAAAATGCTCGGTAGAATTATATTGTAAATCATTCAAAGAGATTTTTATTATATGACAAACCTAAGGAACTTAACTAGATTTCCTATGTATAATTGCAATGGAAACAAAAATCATGAAACAGGTTATACGAAGTTCCATACCAATTTAGAAACAATACTAACGTTAACGTCATCGTGCTTTAATTTGATATGATAAAATATCGCAACAAAGAATACCTGTCAGTCAAGTTTGTCAACCAATTAAATTTTCCATCTGCTACAAACAAGAAATCTGTTTTGGCTACCGGCTGGGAAGTCCGTACTAAAAAAATATTTTCTGGAGGCCGCGAGAAAATATTTGTTTCAGTACGCATCGACTTAACTCATTCTCATCCGGTCGAAAAGTAGCAATTTCGAGTGGTGTTGTTTCAAACGCTTATATCTCTCAAATTATACATCGCACGGAAACAGAAATGGCATCGTTCGAAAGAGAAGGACTTCTGCTTTCCAACGATACCAATTTCAATTTCATCCGGAGCTTGGTTAACGATTTACTCGCATGAATTTGCATAAATTATGAGATAAAAAAATGTCGCAATTATGCATAAATGTATTTAGCGGTTCAAATTTCAAATATGTCAAAAAAATTTATGAATATGACTGAAAGACATGGTTATGATCTACAAGTACCCGAAGTTTCATGCATGTAGCATAAATAGAAATATTTTTATTGAATTTTTATATAAACTAGGTAGTGGAGTAAAATTTACATTTTGTGCTCACATGAAACAAATACCTTCATCAAAGGTCCTTTTTTATTGCTGCAACATGCTATCAATACAAATTTCCAATATTTCTTACTCTCCAAAGATAGTATGGCACCAAAATAAGTCTGTGATACCCACAAAAGAACACTCAAATCATGATTAGCAAAATGTCTTTATTTCTACATTATTACTACATACATTCTTAGATAATCATTACACCATTGACTTTAGTTATTAGTGGCATAACCAGCCTCAAAATTTGGTCATGCTATTCAAATTTGAAATAATCACTACTCATTTGTTTAGAAATTGATTGTTTTCACAATCTAGAACATGAAAATATTTGCAAATAGCATGACCAAGTGTTGTTGGGCTGGCATCATCATAATTAGTAGTTATAAAAAAGTAATGTTTTCCAAGGCAGTAATGTTTGCTAAAGCAGTAATGTTTGCCAAAGCACATAATTGGATTATGTGGTGAAAATATTTCCTTTATATTGTACTACAAAAGACCTAAGACTGTAACCAAACTGATATCAGATCACCACGTCATACCCAAATCTGTTGCGATGAATATCTGGACTTCTTCCTGTATAAATTTCAAAGTCGCAATATAACCATTAGGATTGTCTGCAGCAACCCACAGATTTATTCCCCACATAGTAGGTCATCTAGCTTTCATGAACTGCCTAACCCCCAACCTATTTCTTGATTTGACAGTGTGTTTGTCTGCAACAACAATATTCTGTGACGGCTGGTACAGTTCTTGATGCAGTTTATTGCTGTAGTCTTTAGTACGGGATCTACCATATTCACAAACGCCATAAGCGCTTTGTACCTAACCCAAGAAATTATGTCTATTGCCCACAGACCATGATATAAGGTTTTTACACTCCAATAATTTTCAATCTCACTGTCAACCTTTAGCAAACCTGCATATACTAAAAGGCAATCAACCTCTCAAGGTTGGTGGACTGCAAGACCCTTCTTTATTAGTATATGGGGATAACTTTTGAGTTATTTGTATGTGGGCATATGTATTGGTATGGCCAGGAAACTACCTCCTGAAGCATTCCCTTAGTAAAAAAGAGTCGAATGAACTCAAGCTCACAGTTCATTGAGCCGAATGAAATCAAGCTCACAGTTGAACGAAATGGATCCTGGACATGTCAGTAAGGAGCAAAATCTGGGAGAACATTCCTAGCGTCAGGATCATCATATCCGTCATGTACTATGAGGCCTAGTGGGGATGCTAGACAGGGAGCTTTCGAAACCTTAGGTCCTAATGGCTGGGCTTCCCTCTACCTCTACTCATCCCCCTACCTTCCCTCTGGGTTGGTGAGTGGGGTTCTCGTGACTCATCAGAACTCTACTTCCCTGAGGCTATGAAACAGGAACAGCAGTGAGGAACAGGATCAATATATTCATCAGTGCAAATAAAAACTTTTATAGACATGGTGCCACTTAAAATTATAAAAAGAGCCAACTAGTAAGATATAAGTATGAATACTTGGCTATTATGTATGTAACAAACAACCAAACATGTGCTCAAGGCTCATTTTACTTCGCCTAGGAATCCGAGATTTTTATGCCTAAAACACCATAAATTTTCGTCAACAATATAAATAAATACCATTTATATTTGTCAATTTCAGTATGAAACGATTATTTCAACACAAAAAGCGATATGAGGACATACTTGGTCGTACTAGTGAAGCTATACTAAATACAAATAAATTTACAACGCCATGGCAACGGCAAAACATTGAAATAGAAATTGTCTAGAAATGATACAAATACTTGCCTTGAAACTCCAGACACCACTCCCAATGCGAGGTTGAGATACTTGTCTTCATACGAAGACATCATTACTAGCACTATCAGTTTGCAAAATAAAGCCAAAAACGTCTTCAGAATGTGATTCAAACAAAACTACAACACAATACATTTCTCAACGCTCGTGCGTTCCCGTGCGCGATAATCAGGAAAATTGCTCTAAAAGATTTGTTTTTCTACCTAAGCCAATCAAAATCCGTATCTAGGGTAAACAAATACTCCGGAAGTGATTCCTGCAGTCTTTTACCAGGAAACTGTAATGCTTTACCAAGAATTTGGCGTCCGAAGTTGGCCGAACACTTTCCGATCACGAGAATTGCCATAATAGGCTTAGATTATTTCGCAATTTCCCGAGACTGCTCCGAGCTATAGAATGGAAGATGGCAATTCTTTTGGTATATTTGTTATTATTATACGTGGAAAAGAAGCAAAAAGACGAGCATTTGAATCAGACGGAACATTCAAAATGCAACAGCAAAATTGATAATGTGTCATTTGCATAAATTTCACCACATTGATCATTTCAAGGTAAGAAATTCGCTTGAAATTGAGCGAGAAACAATAAAATTATATGAATATTTCTGAATATATAGTATCGATCAAGCGGAATTTTTTGGTGTCATTTTCGTATGTCTACTGCAAATACTCGCGAAGTTCTTTAATATTTAATCTTCCCGTCATATACGTCGGAAATTAATATTGGCGGATCGAATTGAGTTAATCATGAGCTGCTGCTTTCGAAACTTAGCAAGCTTGGATTTGGAGGTGGCCTACTACAATGGTTCCGGTCCTACTTGTCTAATCGGCGACAGCGCGTTACCGCCCTCGCTGCTACATCTAACACCTTACCTGTAACCTCTGGGGTACCTCAAGGCTCCATACTAGGTCCCATATTATTCCTCTTATATGTTCATGACCTACCCGGTCTCGTCAAATCCAGTCAAGTCGCTATGTTCGCAGATGATACGAAAATATTTAAGTCTATCGCATCAATAAACAATACGAAATTACTCCAACAGGACTTATCCAACTTAGAATCCTGGTCTTCGACTTCCGGTCTCCCCTTCAATCAAAGTAAATGTCAGTCGCTGTCTATCACTCGTAAAACGAAGCCAGTGGTGACTATATACAAGATGAAGGGTGAAACTCTAGAAATGACAAAATCGGAACAAGATCTTGGCATCTGGATGTCAACTGATCTCACCTGGAATAATGAAGTAGTAGAACAATCTTCCTGTGCTAACAAGTTGCTAGGTTATATCAGACGGAACGCACGGTTCATTCAAAACACCAGCGCGAGGAGGGCATTGTATTTAACATTAGTACGCCCTCACTTAGGATATGCCACCCAGATCTGGTCGCCACAGTCCATCAACCTAATTGCAAGATTGGAAAAAGTTCAAAGGCGTGCCACGAAATTTATTCTCAATCTGCCGTTTTCCAGTCCAGACAGTTATACCTCGCGATTACGGTCTTTATCATTACTTCCATTATGTTACTGGCATGAGTTTTTGGATTTGTTTTTTTTCTTTAAAATGGTGAACAATCTGGTAATAATAGAACCTTCTGTAGTACCAAAAACCCAAAGCTCCAGACCGACCACATCATCTATAAACACGGACATACCTAAGTTTGTCATTCCCAGGAGCAAAACAACGATGCATCAACGCTCGTTTCTAATTCGAACAACCAGGGTGTGGAACAGCCTAGCTGACGAACTGAAACTTAACATGATAAATTTGAACTCATTTAAATCTACTATTCTAAGTTATTACTTCCGTGCTTTGGAAATTTCCTACGATCCTGAAAATCCAAGAACATTCAAAACTATATGTATCAAGTGTAATACCGCTCGAACTCTGGTTCAGCCTCTTAAGTGCTGCTATTAGTTATAGTTTTATTTAGATAGTTTTTTATGTTTGTATGTCCTAATTCGGGCCCGCAGTAATTGGCTCACACTGTTGCGGTCACCCTGCTTATAGTCATGTATGTTATTCTTGTTCTTGTTATAGTTTTTTGTATTGTAATATGGCGAAACTAATAAATAAATAAATAAATATACAACAAGCTTGAAGCAATTTTGTTTGAAGAAATGAGAAGAATTGGTTTACTACGGGAAATCGGGAAATATACGGCAAGTTTGCTTTGAATATTTTAAAAATGTTTACGAATTTTGTTGCTTTAACTTTTTATGTAATAAAAAACATGAACTATAGAAGCTCTACTAAGTTTCATAAATTACTGTTTAATTTGAGAAAAAATCTTAAAATGTAAAGGCGAACAAATTGATTTGAAGACTGAACTGAAATTACCTAACAATTTTATTTTATTTGTATTAATTAAACTTATCATGTTTTGTTAAGTAAAAACAGTTTATCGGCAAAATGTAGGTTTACTTGAATGAACATTTCAAAACATTTTACGAAGCGTTTCAAGTTAAATTTTACATTAAATCAAAGCTCACAAAATGCAAAATAATATACCTACAGTATGTATTTCGGAAATTTATTGTTGTATAGTTAAAAGTATGAATCTTTCAACTATTTTGCAGTTTTGTACAAAATATATGAAAATAAAAATTTAAGAATATCGTGTTGTCATGGCAACACTTGAGCGCGAGCCTGCATTCAGTGCTGGTCATTTCTGAATACTTCATGTTTAATGTATGACAATATTGGCGAGGGGTTACTGCATGCATGTATTTCTAGTCTAATATGTTTTTTTAATTACTGTATATTAATGTTTACTACATGTATTAATACTACAGTGGTTACTGTCTAGGACCTGTTTTGACTCATTTTGTTTCGTGTTTTCCTACAAGGTAAGACAATCCCTATCGTGAAGCAAGAAGTTTCCATTGAACATTCATACAACAAAATGCAACCTGAAGAGGTATGGTACTGCTCAGAAATAATCTAACGGAAAACATGTTTAGAATGCCGCTCAGAACGTTAGCGAATGTGTTACATTTGCGTTCCTAGCGCATTCCAATTTGCAGTTTATTGACTTTATTCACGTTCCGCTCTGACCGGCGCAATTACTGATGCGCGTTCATGATTCAGTCTGAATAAAAGCGGGAATTTCATTTTGCTAATGTCTTTAAATTGTTGCAAAATATATAAATTTATGTGCATAAATTAGCGTTTTAGGTATGTTTCATGGTACAAATTTTTGCTTGCTGTTTTGACTGTGAAATGTTTTTTTTTTAGTTCATTTGCATTATTATGTATAGTATTTGACAATTTCTATATTGACCATTTCTATAGGACTTACTCTGTGCGGTATGTGGTGGAGTGCAATGGATAGCTGTAAAACCAGTGAAATACCAGTGGGTGTTTGTACCTTTGTGTATTCAAAGGTAACTCCTGCACAACCAGAGCTGAAATGTTACAGCTGTTCATCATACCACTGCAGTCATGTCTCCAGTATTGCAAGGGCTATAGATGATGTTCAAGAGGATGACAACTCGGCGCTGGCTCTTTTTAAATTTTCCCTGGAGATTTCGCCAGAAATGCACAACTAGTTTGAAATGGCTACCCGTAGTGAAGAAAAGGTTCAGTTATTTCTAACGGGTATACATGCATGTAGTTAAATTTTCTAACAAAAACTTTATTGGCAATATATTTGACCTGCCAAACATGGTTCGTGTTCAAAGTTATAAGTGTCTACCAGGCCGTTATTTCGAACCATAGAAACAACCCTAAACCAGAAATTAATTGGTTTTTGGCAACGAAAATGATGCAAATGATTTCTGTGCTTTTCCTGAAAAGAATGGATCAAAATTATTTGTACCACCCAACAGTGGCTGTTGTCCTTGTGGCATGGAATGGGATGGACGTCCAGTTCAAGATGACTGGTTGGATGTTGAAGATTGTTCTGTTGTGTACCTTTATTCAATTCACCAAGTAAATGGTAAGCAAACATATGGGATACCTTTAATCATATATTACATGTTCATTCTTGAGAGAGAATGCACCAACATTTCGATACAGGTAAGATGACGAAAAGAACATGAACTACAGTACTTTGCATGTGTTTTACTTGATAAAAGATGCTAATAACCTAGTTAAAGTAAAGAATGAAGGAAAAAGAAACAAAATTAGACAACTTGTTGATGTACTATTCTGTAAAAATCGATTTAGTGTATTAATTCCGGTTAAGGAGGTAAAAAAGTTTTAATAATCGTTAATAAATTGTTTTCTTTTAGTGTATTATAGGCCTTGTTTATCATGTGACAATAAGAAGTGCTACGATGGCATTGAAAACAGGGTTGTGTGGTTTGGCTCTTTTTGCATTTCCCATGCTGTTTTGAAGGATTATATATTCGACTTTTCATAACATCCAGGTGAAAGAACATGTTAATTTGTGCTTTCTAAATTTATTTGCCTCTCTTTTTCTTGTTCTATCCATAAGATATATGTTGGTAATGTTGGTAATTTTACTTTCTTTTAAGTTTACCTATGTACAAATATTATGTGGCATTCGTACAACAGCAAGTGTCTCTGGGAATTTTGCATTCAGGAATGAGATTACTTACACAAAGTTCCATCTCTCAGTTATTGCAATAATACGGTATGTGAAAATTATGCAGTATTGTGACATATATGTACATTTAACTTTCAAGCTGGGGGATAATTTTAATAACCAAACAGGTTAGAAAAAAATTGTGCTACATGCATGTGCTATCAATCTCGTATATTTTCATAGAACTGCTATTTTTATAATCTAGACCGGGCCGACGGTACGTTTACAAGAATGGGACTCTAGATCTTGTTATAAATGCAATAAATTCCAGTAGAAAAATGCTATTGTCCAATCAACTATATAGGCGCATAGTATAATGGAATTGAGTGAAAATAGTAAATAACTACATTCTCCAGCCGGCAGAGAAGACAATTTTTTATACATTTCTCATTCAGTTTTCGTCCAAATTGCAACAAAATGTTATCGTTTTATCCTTGGCCTATTATTAAATTCGCCATACAAACTTTCAAAAAACAGACAAACACACAAACAAATGGAGGTATAATAAGAATACCGGGGAAATAACAAAGAGAAATGTAGTGACTTTAAGTATGAGGGGAAGTGACCAAGGTGTTTATCCTGCCAGTCATCATAGGTGCCTTCAGAACGATGACCAAGAATGTACAAGATAACCTGGACAATCGGTTTGTTAGGAACATCATGAATCCCGAGTAAGATCTTCGACTCGTAACCTGATATTGATATGCTGCGGGAGATGTAGATGTCATGTGTATTTCATTTATCTATTCTAGGTATTTGCTATGGATTCGAGATAATGTGAGATCACGAATCACCAAATATTCCCTTTACAATTCTAAGAACACGCTTTCCCAAAGGTATAGTGATATTCGTTAAATAATATGACATTACATTTTGTCTTTAATTCTATAAAAGGTTTAACTTTGTAACTTCAGCTTTTGTTTTCAACTTAATGAACTCATTGACATTAGAAAAAATAGTATCTCTGCTGTGTGTTTGTGGCAACTCTTTTTTATCTATTTAGCACCACAGTTGGTTATTTATGATAACTTGTGCAGACTGCACAAGTACTGCTTGAACCGCGATCCGGCGTTTTTCAAGAACACAAAGTTTGTGGTTGATAAATTCCATCGGAAAAATCATTCTGCTATGTGGGCATTTTGTATTTCTTTAAAGCGTATTTATATAACATTTCTATAGTTTCGATTGGCCATACAGTTTTTCTCACTAGTGATAAATGATCGTATCGACATTTTGATAACCTTACGTTTTTTTCTCACTAGTGAGAAATTATTGTATTTGCATTTTTATTGACCTCAAATGATATTTTAGTTTTTTTTTATAAATTGCATTTATAATTATGCAACGTAAAACATCACATGAAAAAGAAGAACCATGTATTATTCTGTATTTATGCCACATAACTCGATTGTAGCAAACACGAAAGCCTATAACAGAGTAGAATTGTTCCGGACAAAGTTTCGATGAATCGTCCTACTAACTCTCCATGACGAAGGGTCTTTGCTCAAAATGTCGAGAATGATGGTAAAAATGAAGAATAAAAGGGATAGCGATAGCCAACGACTGTGGGCTCAGTGCTTATAAAAAATTGTATGTACTCAGTAAAGTAATTTTTATGCACAAAATTTTTAAATCTGTTTAAATGGTATACAATACTTTATTAATTTTACTGTATAATTATATTGATTTCATTTTAGGATGCTGTGAGGGACATAACATGAAATTGTACCCGACTCGTCCATAATAGCCAAGCTGCCGAACAATGTAACTCTGCAATAAACCCCTTGCATCTATGGTCTCCTATATGCAATATCAAAACTTTCTTCTTTTTTCAAAGCTCTATATCTGGTATAGAAATATGCTGTACATAGTCAAGTTAAACCCAGAGAGAGACATACCCTACAAAGACTATTTTCTTGCTATCAACGGCCAAAGTTAATAAATAAATCAATGATGTTTTTATACTAGCTCATGTCTATACAGACTATACTTGAAGAAATGTGATACTCAACGGTGCATGCGGGTGTACCGAGCTCCCTAAAATCTTTTTAAAATCTTACAGATTTTGCATTTTCCCATTAGAGTTCTAACAATAAAATTACAAAACAGTGTGTAAATTTCGGTGGCGCGATTGTCAGAGCACACACCTCTGCTATTGTGGGTTCGATTATCATTGGGGTTGACTTATAATAGTTACTGTACGTGAACAGAGTTAGTCAATGCTCTGCCGAAAGTCGTGGGTTTTCTCCGGGCACTCTGGATTTTTTCTTCCCTTGATATATAATGATTAATGGCACTCAAACTTACATGGAAAGAATCTATACACTGGCATTACTGTATTTGTATTTTTAAAACATTGCCGAAAACTGTTAGCAACTAGGAGTTTAATTTTACGTTCACGATCTTCAGACGACGAGATAACTTTTCAATGATGACCACACACTTTAGTAACTTATCAGCTTAGTATATATAGCCTGCATAGCAGGCGGTTTTAAGGGTTGGGGTTGAGGCACGGGCAGCGAAAATTAGGGAGGCGAGGTGCGGGAGGGGAAAAATGCAGGCGAGAAAAACTGCCTCTGCGGCGAGAAAAACTGCCTCTGTGGCGAGAAAAACTGCCTCTGCGGCAAGAAAAACTGCCTGCCGCAAAACCAGGTGTAAATGAATGAATGCCCCCAACAAAAATTCGGTAATTCACGTGTCTGTTTTATGTCGCAAGTGCTAAAAATAATTTTGAAAATGGTGTCTGGTGTCTATAAAACGTCAAAACAAACACATGTGCGCTGGTTGTAAATATATTTATAAATGCAAACACCAACAAAAAAGGTTAAAAGAGGCAAAAAATCAGCCAGTGAAAGTGCTAATGATTACTGTAGGTTATGCAACTGTGCTCTGAAAATAAGATTTGGTAATTTCGATAGTACATCATACGTTTCTTTCAAAAACATATTCAAGTGTTCAAAGACCTCGAATATCACCCAAACGTTACAGGAGTTGTGCAGTGACCTGGGATTTCTAGTTGAAAAATCGTCAGTTAGTTCTGACCACGTTTGCAAAGCGTGTGAACAGAAAGTACGAAACGCCCATGAACTTTTCCACTTTATTAAAACAGCATTTGTAAATGGAAAGCCGTCACAAGATGAAGTAGACAAGACGGCGAAATCAACAACTCATTGGAGAGCACTTGCAGGTTTAAACAATGGTTACCAACTATTGTTTGCTCTCCAGATCGTAGCCCACAAACTAAGAAAATTGTAAAAACTACGGAACGCTATAAAACTTGTACCAGATCGAAGAAAAGCTTAGTATTTGCGAAGAGTGATACTAATGAAACATCGTCAGTAAGCAGTGACAATAAATATTCTCGTGACGAATTTCTTTCAAGACTAAACATGACGAACTTTAGATCAAAATACCACACAAGTAAAGGTTGTGATTGCTAATCCCAATAAGACAGTGAGTACCCATAGCAACTTTGGAGAAGAAACTAAATCTTTGATTTTGAATATAGTGAGAAAAAACTGGCTCGCTGCTGCTAACATTTTTAAGCATCATGAAATAAGAAGAGAATTAATTGGGCCTTTACGAAAAACAGTAAGAGACGAATTTCATTCATATTGTGGTAACAGTTCAGAGTCTGTATTGCAAGTAAAATCACCAGTTGACGTAGCCTCATTTTCTAATAAAGTGTTGGTTCGTGAAGTTCAATTAGCATGTCCGTTTTGGCATGCGTGCCTGGACGGAGCATGTAAGGCTACTCAAAGTAGAGAAAGAAATACAAAAATAACTAATTCAATGGCTCTGATTTCTGCGACTGCTGCAAGATGTCAAAATAAAAAAATGTCCGCACTTGCATATAGAATATCCTCGATTATATTTCACAGTGGAGTTAAACACCAAGACATAGTACGTTTGCAAAAACTGTGTCTGTGTATGTCTCCAAATTCGATTATCGAATTCCAAAAACAGATGGTTGAAAATAGCGAGGGAAAGGTCCAGTTTTGGAAAAAGGAAATAGAAAACAACATAATGGCCAAACAGTTACTTGTTGAAGTTAAAGAGAAGCAAGTCGGAATAAAGGGAGAATGTGATATGCAACTCGATTCGGTTATTGATTTTTCCAGTGAGGTGATAAAGGGTTATGAAAACTACGACAAATCCTCGTTTGAAACTTGCACTAACCTCATGGAATCTTTAAATGGGCAGGGAATCTACAAATGGCCAGGGAATCTACACTGATGACGATCTGGAAATGGCATTATCTAAGCTTGATAGTTTCAAACGTCCTCATTACAAGTAAGTTCAGTAGAATAAATAAGAAATACAACCGTTTTATAGCATACTAGTGGCATTCTCGTGTGAGACGCACTTTTATGACAATATCAGTTACACAGGTAAAAACGCACAAGTTGTAACAAGTCTGCAAACAGGTTGTTGCAAGTCTGTTCACAAGCTGTTAACAAGTTGTCTTCGCACTGCTTGTTCCCAGTTTGTTGTAACAAGTTTGTAACAAGCTGTTAACAACTTGTAACAAGCTTGATGGCATTATCAGCCTTGTTACAACTTTATTCTAACAAGTTTGTTACAGCCATGATATAACAAGGATGTTACAAGGTTGTCAACACAAGGTTGTAACAATCTTGTTATATCAAGCATGTAACAGACTTGTCAGAACAACCTTGCAACAAGTCTGATAATTTCAACAAGGTTGTTACAAGTTGTCAACAAGTTGTTCCAAACCTGTTGACAACTTGCGACAAGCAGTGCTAATACATCTTGTTGACGGCTTGTTGGCAGACTTGTTACAAGATGTGAGATTTTTACGTATGTCAGTGGCGTATCATTTTAAATCAAATTATATCTAACACAAATTCCTCGTTTGGTGTTGATTTAAAAAAAAATTCACCATGATACATATTTTTGACATTTTTAGCATATGCCGTAAATCTGAATTTAAGAAAAATGGCAGGTTTTCTTGCATATATATCAATGTAAAATACTTTGGAACCTATAAATTGTATAAAAGTTCTAGGAATTACATGCTTTGTGGTCACAATTTGACAAGTGCATGTATTATCTGCAGGAACTTACCATCCTCCAAACATCCATATGAAACATCAGTCTACAGAAATTATTACTTGAATAGTACAGATTTAATGTTTGTATGAAATGGGATGATAAAACTATCCTATTAATTTGAAAATGTTTCATTTGCTTTACAGGGTGGTTGCTGATAATATAGATTATAACATCAATGCACATGTTCAAAGTGAGAAACATACAAACAAATCTATCCACTGGATCCAACAGTATGTGGTGGTAAACAAAGTGATTGAGTCATCAATGTCTACAAATATTCCAAAGAAGCCTCTGAAAGATGTACAGTTAGTTGACCTGCTGCCTAATAAAGCTGTGCATGAGAGATTAATACAAAGATGGGCAGTACTTTTATCAGCAGAGTTGTTTGCAAGTATATCCCTAAACTTCAGTACCTGCAAGCCATTGTAATTTATCACATCGCTCATACGTATTCCAAGGAAATGGCAACCAAGTCAGAAACTGTAAGTATATGGCATAAATTGTTGGTATTCAGATTCGAAATATGCTTATAAATAACCCCATGCAGTGTTAGCTCAACATTAGCTCCATTTTAATTTAAGAAACCAGTTGACTCGATAAGCATATGAATATATTAATTTCTTATTCTTATCAAGTCAACTGGTTTCCTAAATTAAAATGATCATGTATAATAATATGTAAATCCTGTTTTCAACTAAGGGGAATGTGAAGTGAAGCAAATCAAAGTAAACAGTCTGATCGACTTGCAATCATGCACTCCTATTCTTCATGCACTCCTATTTATATGAGAAAACATGTTTAATAATTGCACAGTTTTAGTCACTATGCTGTGTTATCACTATTCTGTTTATCATCCCATGCAGTGCTGTCTTGGCCTTCAATTCCACAACTCGAATGTTGCTAGTGATATGGCCCAATTTTTGATCTCCAATCAACAAAGGTATGTACCTTCCTGCCACAACACAGTTGATAAAGTCACTATGCATAGAGTCCCATTACATGGTGACCAGTTGTTTGAAGAAAGAGCAAGAAATACCCAGTGGACATATCAAGATGGCAATAATCCAAGTGACAGATTGGAAGGATTCAGAACTGAGTTTGCTGATTGGCATGCCAAAATGAATCTATACATGGTTAGTGATTACTTTAATTAATATCAAACCATCAAACTTAAACTTGAAAACATGTTATCAACGAGTTTCCCGTCCCTAATATGAATTCGGCTATTGAAGCACATATATGTGCTTCCTTTATGGAAATGTCTGGAATGAAAAATCTAGAAGGTACTTAAATATAGTCTGTATAGCAGGCGTTTAGTGCGGGTGGTAGCTTGCAGTTTTCAAGCCCAACCCTTAAAACTGCCGGCTACGCAGGCTATGTGGGTGGGAGAAGAAAGGGTGTCACCTTTTGTCTTCGTTCTGAAACAAATGTATCGATATTGTAATTGTTTTATTTGCATGGTTTGCAAGGTGTTATTTTGTTATTCAGTTTAGTTATGAAAAACTACAGTTACTGAAATGCATGGCTTGGAGACTGGCCGAAACCACAATGCATCTCATTTTAATATTCATGTTTGTGTAAGTTTATATGCAAAAATATGGGTCCTATCTCATCATGTGTGTATCATGTTTTTCTGAAATCATCCAATAGTAATGTGTAGATTGACCAATTGTTTCAGTCACAGATTAATAGCTGAGTTCTAAAATAATAAGCTATTGGTTGTTAAGTAAGCCTCCGAACCATGTATATTTCATTAACTATGGGAAAACACAGAGTTCAACACCCTTTTTATATCTGTCTAACTCCAGATTATTTTACTCTGTGTAACATCGGACAATTTTATTTCTCAAGGGAAGAGTGCTGGCATTCATTAATAGTCTACTCAATAGGTTAATACCATGTTCCAATCGTATTTTTCATACAAACTATGGAGCTCATCCATGCATGTGTGATTTTTTAGACAAGCCCAATTATTCAGTACCAGAGAATGATGTTCCGGAAGAAACAAGAAGAAAATGGCTGTTAGAATTGTGTGTCAAGTATGTCCATGAGTACCTCATTAGCTTTGAAGTGGAACCTATAGTTAAACAACTACAAATTCTGGATGAAGCAAAGGGTGCAAAATTTGCCTGTAGATCTGAAGAATGCACTAAGAATTTTGTCCATCATTACATGCGTGTAAAGTAAGTATTTATGAACAATTTTAATAAAAAGGTTTTACCATTACAGTATACATGTTACAAAAGGTAAAAAATCTAATGACTATATAAACTACATTAAGTACTGTTACATTAAATACTGTTACATTAAGTACTGTTACATTAAATACTGCATTTTTCAATTCTATTAAAGACATGAAGTCACCCAGCATGGTTATTTTCATGAAAGATTTGAGGTAAATGGAAGAGATACCCTCGGATTTTACCATTGTCTAAGCTCATGCAGGTTGGTGTTTTCAACGACTGCCATAAGAAACAAGTAAGACGTTCATTTATGTCATTTGATTTTAACGGAAATTAAAGACATTAAACTGGTTAAATTGAACATGACTAAACTTTGTCTACACATTGCGATTCATCAATTTCTTGTCTGTTAATGATATAATTGATCAAGTATTGATAACAATTTGATGTCTTCATTTCATATAATGTATACCGCATGTCTATACTTTTCAACTATCGCGAATACGAATCTGAAATTAGCCAGTGTGGTAGACTCATGATAAGTCGCAGTGTGTAAACGTACTGTACAGAAATACTTTTTCACAACCATCCTCAGAGATACGAAAAACCAGTTTCATATTATTCTGATACTGCAATCGACCAACAAAAAATTTGTTGGCTCGAGTGGGATAAGACCCCATTGACTGGATAACTCAATGGGTAGAGCGGCGGTCTAGATACCCAAAGATGCAAGTTCAAATCCCGCTCGAGCCAATGAATTTTCCGTTGGTCTATTGCAGTGTCAGAATAGTATGAAACAGAAATACTTGTTCATCATATTTATCATGATATAAAAAATTCTGTCCTAGCCATGAATGCTTGAATCACCCAGAGACACCAAATGTTCAGGAACAAGAAGGTAGCCACACTGAAATAGAAACTAATTCTGCCAAGGAGGATTACTTGTTTAACTACCACAAGTCAAAACTTTCATTTGGCCTTATCTTGTTGGAATACAGTGATGCAATAAAAGCTGGCGATGGTGGTAGGTTGCATGACCTGTACAAAATTGCACTGCTTCTTCTTAAAGCAAATGGAAAAACCAAATATTCATATGCAATTTTAATGTACCCATTGCAAATTGAATGCATGCTGTCAGAAGAGGATGCACATAATCTTAAATGGAATCGCTTTTTTAACAAGCAAGGAAAAGTTGGAAGGAACATCCCTCTTGATCTGAGGATGGAGCAACTCAACAAAATTGTTAAAACCATGTGGCACTCACTTAGAGCTAATCTTGATGAGAGGTCTGCTGCACGGTTAGCAAGCACATTGGAACCTATGGAACAGATTTTAGAAAGCATAGACAAAGATTGCAATCTAACTTATGAGTGTGGATACCGCTCAGGGGGAGATCCAAAAAGAAGTGTAGAACTTATAACAAACGACTTAATGGAAATAAATGCCTTCAAGAAGCAACCAGGGAGATTGGGGCACCCATCTTACCATAAGATGTCTTAAAATCTTCTAAGGAATCTAGATTAGGGGCGGACCATTAGAAAATGGGGGAGGGGGGGGTGGCAATTTCAGAAAAAAAAATCGTGCAAGGTCAGTTCAGAGGGAAAAAAAATCTTGCAGAAACCCAGCGTGGGAAAAAAATATCTTGCAAGTTATTAGACCAACATATATTTAGGTAAAGTTATAAACCTCAGAGAATAGTAAATCAATGGAAATATATAAACGTAAAAAATTATACATAATGTAGACTGTAGTTATATTAAACATACACATCTCAGTCTAAAATATTCAGTTGTACTGTCTTAAAATAACCTGTATTTAAAATATAAAGTTGATTTTTTTGTTAGAATAAAGTCAAATTCTCTTATAGCATTGCCGCAGCCCTCCCAGCACACACAGTTATACAGACAGCCCTGAAAGAATGGCTAGAAACGGAAAAAATCAAAACGACATGCGGCCAATTGTTACCCAGTCTTACACCGCCGAATGCTGATGTGTACTGGAGCTTAACCACACAATTCAATCATTCAACAGGACATGTAATGTAAGTGCATGCGATATGCATCCGGTGTTATTAATAAGATATTAATATAAAACTATATGTGAGCTTTATATACTATTATGAACAGGTCCTAATATTACATGTTTTGTACTGTTAATAATATATATCTTTTACAGCCAGAAACCGCAAGCGTACTGCAACGGTAAAAGGCAGAACTCACGACGAGAATTTCCACGGGGTGCTCCCCCTTTTCTATTCATTTCCTTGGATCTCTTTTCCCGCAAAGGTATAATTCATAGCATGTCGCAGCTGCCTGGTGAACTTCAATTCATTCAACGGAGGTACAAAAGCCTTTTTTCATCTTGACTTATTATAAAATACCAACTATATCCGGCAGTTTTTCATGTATTTTTTATTAATATCTAGGTACATTCTTTGCGGACTAACATTTTGGAAGCCTAGTGGCCATTACCGTGGTGCATTTCAAGTAAACGGCACTTGGTTTTATTACGACGGGTTGTGGGAGCGAAACTATCTTGCCAGATGCCAAGGCCAGCCAGCCACTCCGGAAGGGTTTCTTCTATCACATTGTCTGTATTTATCAGTTTAATAAACGTCTATATCTCATATTGTGTGTATGTAATGTAATTATATATTCAGTAAACAATATATATAATGGTAATATAAATAGGGCTGTATAATATTAATAAATTATAGTTCACATTCCTTTAAAAAAAAATCGTGCAACACAAGCATGGCTGAAAAAAAAAATCTTGCACAACGTTGTTGCAAAAAAAAATATCCTGCCCGAAAAAATTGCCACCCCCCCTCCCCCATTTTCTAATGGTCCGCCCCTTATAGAGACCTGCACGATTGGATGAGAGAGCATCTTAAGCTATGGGAATCAGTTTATAAGTTGAACAACGAATCACAATAAGAGTAAATTAAAGTTGGTCATTACTATATAAAATTAATAAGTCTTAATTATGTGGTAAATTTAGTTGAAAAACAAATATATCACATGCTATTGAAATTTGGAAAAGCTGGTGAAAGACAATACAGTAAGATTTCACATGCCAAGTTCTGCTTCCAACCTTTAATAAACGTGGAATGTTAAAAATAGTGCCCTCATTCACAGGCTCTTTTTCATAAATGTGTATTAAAGCAATTAGCAAATATTGCAAACTTGCTGTGTTGACATTTTTCATACAGAACTTATTTGTCTGTATCCGGCTTAAGAATAAGAGTATTATTGTACATTTCTGGGGTATATAAATTCAACAAATGACATATAATTACAGCAAAGAATTTTGTTTAATTTCAAATGATCGGTTGAAACTACTGTACACTGTACTATTGAATAGATAAAGAATTTGTATGCTTCATTCACCAGTTAATTATTGTCAATATCTACACTCAATTTGACAATCAACCAAGAAGCAGTTGTAAAAATCCAGACTATCAACTGGATAGTGTTTTTTTTAAATGCACGAAAAGCTATGAAACCACGTATATGGACCTCACAATTAATGAACATAAGCTATTATTTACTCAAGTGTAATATGAACCACAGAAATCAATTGACAATTTAGAAAGCTTGCAAACAATCACTATCCAGTTGATAGCACTATCCAGCCTTCATACAACCATCCCCTCGACTATTAATCCTACATCCCTATAATAGATTATTATTTTAACTGTACACCCAAGAACATTAATGACTATTAAGGCACTGTACACAATGCAATCTTTCACTGCCCAATATACTAACCATAACTTGGCACCACAAATGAGTAAATATTGAAAAAAAGCAAATTTGCTACAATGGTTGCCAAAATTTTATGCAATTATTTGACCAATATGGTAGTAGGCATAATGGTCCATACAACATGTAACAGCACTTTGATGTTGAATGTACAGTATTTTAAGAAGTCTGAAAGCTATGTGTGTGTGTGTGTGTGTGTGTGTGTGTGTATATGTATATGTATATGTATATGTATATGTATATGTATATGTATTTACAGTTATTGTCAGTACACAATAATATGCCTGTATATATAGAAACTAAAATGGGAGATAACTGTTTTTACCTTAGTATGTTCAAAGCGACGATTTTGTTTTGCCCACCCATGCTACATAAGACGTTGAGATTGCCACTTGCAATCTCATAAACGATAAGCCACCAGTGTACCCTGGTAAAAAGTCAAATTCAAAAGTTGTACTCTTGATATGTAGCACGTAAGACATCATAAATTAAGTAGCATACTGTGCATAAATGTGTCATTCGAATACGGTGTAGTATTTTGATTATGAGAACAATTTCAATTAAAAATGAGCAATATTTATCCTTACATATTGCATATTGGCACGAGGATGTACTTAAGTTTGTGCATGTTTGGTGGTGTTTCACTCCAGCAATGTTGCATCCACAGAGATCAAGAGGTCGATTACTCCTAAATGTTGTAAATAAGAATCAGTTCATGCTTATAGTAATTTAGTTTGGTGAAGATGTTCTTGCAATTTTGCTTTTCGTTTGCATATAATATCACAGTGTCTTTCTGCACTACAAATCCTTTTCCAGTATATAATTAAAGTCAAAATTAAAGGTACACTTACAGAGCTCCCTTTATTAACAGTCTCTCTGCTGAAAGTAGCTTCTGAAAGCGAAGTTCGGTAGGTTCCCCCCTTCCTTTCTGCCGATTTGCAGTAATACCTTTATAATAAATATTATAGATATAATTATTACAAATTAATTGTTTAGGATGCTGACTTAAAGATTATACAGGTGTTTATGGAAAATTGGGTATGTTGAAGACATTCATTTATTTATTTATTCAATCACCTTAACAAGACATTAATAATGGTATCACATAACCAACGACGACTATTTAGTGTCTCTATATCTTTTCGATACACAAAGATGTCGACGTAACCAACTCTATTAAACCGAGAGATAAGTTTTCAAAAATGATGCGTTCCTAAATAAGCAGTACCACCTGCCGCGCAGCATGTTATATGCACATGGATGAACTTGAAAACATTGCGTGAACTTTTTTATGTTTTGATGAATTGTAAATATATGAAGCTTATGTATAGTTTTAATATACTTCGTACAATTTGAGAGCAAAATGCTGATACGATCATTTCTCACTTGTGACCAAAACCGTATAGTGAATAAAAATGCTTTCATGCTTCGTGAAATACAATTTTTATTTCATCCTAGCTACAGCACATAAACTCTATACATAATAAAGAATTTTATACCGGATGAACGAGCGAGTGGCACTCCTTCTGTAAGAATATCTTAATTAAGATAAAATAGTGAGATTGAAGTAATCCTTGCATGATGCCTCTCGTTCTCTCCATTCCACGTCCTCCTAAAAACAGAAATGCCGTGTTTTATGTTTATACACACATCACAAGGCACTGAATATTAACTGTTACTGATGTATATACTATGTACGATAGACGATTTCCATGCAGCTATTTCAATTAAGGTTGTAAGCAACAATAATCAAATGTACTATACAATATGTTATAAAATATCAGTCTTGTGAGATTACAAGATGATATACTGTATAGTAAAATTAGTATCATATTAGCTATTTAAATTAAGCTATTTCCATTAAGCTATTTTAATCAATGTTGCATGTCCCATGAGGCTATACCAAAGCGTTAAACACTTAAACATATTACAAACTATGTTTATTCCCATATTTATTTCGTGCTCATATTGTAGATTTGACTATTGTTGCTGACAATCTTCATTGAAATAGCTATTTATCATTCATACGCACCTGTAGCTTTGCTCTCTTTTTGCATGGTGACGTGTTGGTCGTTTCTCCATTTTGGTCTCCAACAAAACGTAGACTGAGTTGTCCTTAATCGTTTGGCCAACCATATGGACAACACTACCAATTCCCTCCATCACCTGACAGATACAAGGCGAATAGATTTGAAACGCCTTGTGCCTCAGACGCCAAACCTCCAAAGAAGCACAAAGTGCTCCTGCAACACACATAAAGTGTATCTGTCAGGTAAAAGTCTAGAGAATGAAAAAGTATAAAACTGGAAACGCATTGTTTCAGGATTTAATCTCACCAAAAAAAATCTACTGTGAAAGTGACTTGTCAGGAAAGTCTTTAGCGGGGGACGCTCGTGTAGGTAGCGACGTGAGAATAGCTAGTTCGGCTACCTGAAAAATAGTGAACAAATAGCCTTTGCTCAAAGCATCAAAGAAATTGTTTTCTTATTTTTAAGGTAGTTGGATAACCCACACTTCGCAACTACTCTTCACAAGAGTCACTTTCAAACATACAGTTTCTTACATATTCCTCTACGAAGAGCATCATTACCTTCAGTGTTGAAGTTTTTCAGTTCTTTGATAATATCTTCCCCTGATACTGTTGTGTTTGTCTTGAGTGCTGTAATAATCCATTGGATTAAATTAATTATACAAGGCTAATGCAATAAGTGGTTTGTGAGTGAGATCATATGATATATAAAATATTTCTAACCTCAGACGCCAAATGACACAGGTGTGCAATACCGTAAAGAAATGCATCTAGTGCCAATCTATCTGGATCGGTGCTGAGTGCTTCAAATAAATTTCCTTCTCGACTCACCACATAATCGAGTGGTAATCCCATATAATGAGTTAACAAAAATTTATCAGTAATTGGATGTATTATAAATATCTATTTCCCATATCTTGTTGGTATAATACATTTAAATAGGAGTGTAAATTATATACCTTAATGCGTGAGTTGCAGGTTGTTCATGTCTTTTGACCGATTGCAACAACTGGTAAGCGATTTTGATAAACTTGTCCCAGCATTTTTGTTCACTAATTGTACTAATGATGCCACCAATTTCATTCTATAAACAAGAAGATTTTTATAGACATCTAAGATAAATTAATGCATGTGTTACCTGTTAGGCAGTTTGAACGTTTTTATCGAGTGCCTGTTCACAATGTCTTAGTGACTTAGTTAAAATAACATATTGTTTTCATCACCTTTTCATACATGTCCACAAACAATTAAATACCCGTCAATTTCTGAAATCAGTGAAATACAAACTATTGAAAGATTCAGGATCAATAATTCCTAAAACAATATCTGTTTAAAGAAAGTAAACGCTTGTATTCCTATTTCTTATTTATTGCACCTCCTTGTTTTCTTTTCCTTGTTCCACACCACTGTCTGTTGTATCGCCTTGTTCTTCATTCTCTCCATCTTCTTTGTCTACCGTATCTTTTTCTCGTTCGCTCTCATTGCTTGTTTCTGCATTCTCAACATCTTCTTTGTCCATCGTTTCTTCTTTATTATCTTTTTCTCCTTTGCTCTCGCTGCTTGTTCTGGTTTCTTCAACCATTGTTGCGCTGTATCATCCTCGTACCCAGGGTCTTTTTGGGAAAGACCCTGGTATCAGCTGGTCACATGACTCTACAAAAATTGATTGCCCAAGGGGGAGTGGCAAACTATCAAATTACATGCTTCCACAGAAAAGGTTAAATTTCAAATACCAGGAGTGGGATTTTACGATATATAGTTCGAAGCGCCCGCTAACTTCTATTTTATACCTCTGTTTGCTTTTAAATTACAAAAACACTGTAGCATTTTATCAACAGTCAAGTCAAGAAACGAATTCAAGGAGGAACTTTTTTGCGAGATTATTACAGATCAATTCCTCTACCAAAAAGCTGTCGGTCCGACACACCTGCATGGTAATAAATTGGACTGTGTATTCTCGAATTCTCCGAAGCTCATCACGAACGTGAACTGCACAAATCCAACTGATCTATTTCCAACTGATCATTACCTTATCGAGTTCGATATCGAAGTTTGTTTTCAAAAAGCAAAATCGATAAGACGATAATGCAAACTTCGACGGTGCTCGTGAGCATCTAATGAATGTCCCTCTCGATTCTGGGATATCCAATAATTCAGATATAGACGAATGTTGGAAAGCATGGAAAGATCTATTTATCACAGCGATAGATAAATTTGTACCTAAAAAGACAGTCGTTGACACCAACACACCACCTTGGATAGACCGGGATGTTAAACACATGATTAAGAAGAAATATACAGCTCTACGACAATATCGTCAGAAACGAACGGAAGGACGAAAACGCAAACTCTGTCAGTTGACACAGGAAACTAAGGACTTGATTAAACAAAAACGCCATCAATACATAGAAAAAGTTCAAGATTCCCTCGCAAAATCACCTAAGTTATTCTGGTCCTACCACAAACATATCCTCCGCAATAGAAACTCCCCACCTGCTAACACGTACAACAACTCAACTGCAACAACACCACACAAAAAAGCAGAACTTTTCAACGCATTCTTCGCCTCTGTTTTTCTTCCGAAGTCATCTTCCCAAGATGCAAACCTGAACATGACACCGAAAACTGACGAAATAATATCTGATATTCAGATCTCGCAGAATGAAGTCGAGCAGTACCTTAACCATTTGGACACAACAAAGGCTTATGGCCCAGACGGAATACCACCACGTCTACTGAAAGAATTTTCAAGAGAAATCTCGACAAGCCTCTGCAGTTTGTTCAACATGTCCTTAACAACAGGCCGCCTACCTATGGAATGGAAACATGCGAACGTTATACCCATCCACAAAAAAGACTGTGTCGAACCCGTGACCAACTACCGTCCCATTTCCCTTCTGCCAATAATTTCCAAAGTTCTCGAAAGATGCGTTTTCAATAACATTTACCCCTTTGTTCGTGTACTGATCAATAATGTCCAACATGGCTTCTTAAGAAATCGTTCATGTATAACCCAGCTTGTAGGTATACTCCATGACATTGGTAAAAATCTGGATCGAAACAAACAAATCGATGTGCTATACCTAGATTTCTCGAAAGCGTTCGACTCTGTAGATCATGACATCCTACTTCACAAACTACAAATGCATGGCATAAACGGAACGCTTTTACGATGGTTCGAAAACTACTTGAACGATAGATGGCAGCGAGTTGTCATTGATGGTGCAGCCTCTGCATGGTCTCCAGTAACATCAGGTGTACCGCAAGGCAGCATTCTGGGACCGTTGCTCTTTGTCATATTCATAAATGATCTTCCCGATAACGTTTCACCCCGTACGAACTCAGCACTGTATGCAGATGATTCAAAGTTATACAGAGAAATAAAATCGGTAGAAGATTGCCAGTTCCTGCAAGACGACCTTGCCAAACTGGAAAAGTGGAGCACTGATTCAAAAATGCGATTTAACACTGAAAAGTGCAAAGTGCTGACAATATCAAGAAAGCAACACCCAACGCGATTTCCATATCGCATATATGGTAATGAATTATCTCCTTGTCAAGTCGAGAAAGATCTTGGTATGCTCGTGACCAGCAATTTGAAATGGGGCCCACACATACTCAACATGGTGGCGAAGGCAAATAAAATGCTTGGTATCCTCAAACGCTCATGCTTTGACATTAACCACACCCAGGTCAGACGGACCTTATATCTAACGCTAGTTAAATCTCAACTTGTTTATGGAAGCGAGGTATGGTGCCCTCCTAACAACAGCCACTTATCAAAGAAAATCGAAGGAGTTCAAAGAAGAGCAACACTGTGGATACTAAAGAAGAAACGCGGAGAACTAAGTTACAAACAGCGCTTAATGCAACTTAATTTAATCCCGCTTGTATATGACAGAGAACAGAAGGACTTGATATTTTTCTATAAATGCATGTACGGTCTCACAGATTTTGACATATCGCAGTATGTTGAAGTTACAACGGGAAGGACACGCGCGGCCACTTCTGGTCTTCTGAGAACACAAGCATGCAAAACAAGTACATTTCAAAGTTTGTATTGTGTTAGAATTGTTAAACTGTGGAACTATGTTTGTACGTCTGCTCCTTCGTATTGTTATGTCACTGTCTCCTCTTTTAAGTCATACTTGCGCAAGACTTACATCCACCTCACTAGTACTTCCTACACTCCAGACTTACCTAGTTCACACTCACTTATCACGACTCAATAAAAAAATCTAACATTTCTCTCTTTGTCTTTTCATTCTTTCTGCCTTTTTGTTCTCTTAGTCTTTTCATTTAATCTTCCTTGTCTTTGTTTCCTGTCTTTGTTTGTTGTCTAGTGGTGAGCACCTTGCATGGGACATAGTCTCGTTTGTGTTTTGCCACTTTTGGCACTTTCCTCGTCTTCTTGTACAATGTAATTGTCCGTTTAAGTTATGTAAATATTCAGTTTTTTATGTGCCAAATTAAAGTTATTAAATTAAAATTAAATTAAATAAAATGTAGGCCTATACTTTAAACTTTAAAGTTGGGTATTCCCTTTAAACATATTTTCATATCAAACTGGTCAGCCCTCAACGTTTGTACATTTTCACTTTTATCTGTTCCGAAAATATGACATTAGATTTCTTGTTTGAAAACGTCGATAAACTTTGTGCAGATTTACTAATAGTACGCGTCTCATTTTATAGTGAAGGTTGATAAAATTTTGAATTGTAATTAACTTTTTGTCACAATTAAATCACAATGTAAACATGTGGACACTGCCGAACAGAGACTAAATGCTCACTTTAAAACTGTCGATGGTTTATCTTTCAAAATACTTTTAATTAAATAGTTCGTCATATTTTTTTAGAAAGCCTGTAGATCGGTAGGGTAGGAGGTTGGCAGGTAGTAAAGTACAACAATTTTCAGCCTCAGGGCGTATCATCAGGTGGTACGGCTTTAGGCTGATAAATTTTTGGCCTCCATGCACTAAGTAATGGGGTAACAGCAATATTTATAACAGTATTTTTCTGATAACAGTACACACTTTATAATATGAACATAGTCATAGATAATTCCATAAACCACGGGATAAACAATGGCATAAACCACAGCATAAACACTGATATCACACTCAGTCTGATATGCATATGCAGTCATATATAGTCATATGTACCGACCACAGATATATTAACACTTACATAGTCTGGAGCTTGATTCAGTATTATATTTCACAAAGTACTTCATTACAGTAAAGTAATCTCATTACAGTAAAGCCAATGTCACAATTAAAGCTATTTATCAAATTTATCATGAGGATTGCATTCTCTAAATGTCCTAATATTCGTATTTGTAACATACATGCACAGACGAGTCTTTCACTTATCTTTGAGTAGGCTATTGTCGGATTATTTTACCATAGATTTGATAACAGGGAGGTACATACTTCGACATATTTCTTGAGCATCAAGCTCTGAGGATGGTTCTGAAGTTTCAGCAGTGAGCAGTCCGAGTAGCATTGTTTACAAAGCAACATAGTTTGCTATATTTCAGAAATCAAAAGATCTCTATATATTTCGTTACACATCTCAGTATTAAATAAATCCTTTAGGATAGACATCAACAGCTAAATAACAGCCACATCAATCGGTACTGGTGTAGAAATATATTTTCTTGTAACGTTTGCGACGTGTTGATTTCTTCGACGAGCTGTATCAGCATAATTTGTCTATTGAAATCTGATCTATCTTTGCTCACCGACATTCTGCGCACAATGAAATTTGATATTTACTGTTGTGTAACATTGATAGTCTTCATGACAAATAAAATATACAATTTTGTAAATATTTCCTGCATGATTTCTGGGTTATTTCTTCGCTCACTCCTTGCTCAATGACAAAACGTACTTAGGTACCCACCCTAATTGAAATTGTTTGTTATCTCCCAGATTCTGGGAGACACGTGACCAGCCAATAGCAGGGTCTTTCCCAGCTGGTGGAAAGTCCCTGTGACGGAGGTTGGCACTGTATTTCTAACAATAAAATATAATAAAAAAAATTCACTTTAAAACTCTCAATAAATACGTTGGACGTCTTTAAATGCTTACTCGTTTCCGGCCATGTTCTTGGTCTCCAATCTGCAAAGTATATAGTGAGATTTTACATGATAGCATGCACTAAGTATTACAGCTTTGTAGGTATGAGAACGTTTAAAATTATATTCCTTGAAACCATTAATCTGTGCAAATTCTAGTTTATATACTATTCCATTAAAATTAATATAAATTGTTTACGTCTTTAATTAAAATTTCCATATGATAGTACAATGGCCGTCAGCTCTGCCTTGTTAAGCACTTTCTTGAATGCGCTCCTGTATTTTCACTGCCATCTGAAATATATATTTGCAGCTGTATGTACCACTGAAATTACACAAAACTTTGGTAAAAGCTAAATACTAATATCAGTACAGAATACTGGAGGTGTATACTAATACCAAAGAATGCCAGATTTATCAACAATTTTGAAAAATCAGTTTTCAGAATAGTGAAATTGATTAATCATGCAGTGTGATTACTCTATAATTTAATAATATTGTGAGGGTTGTTTTACTTCAATATATAAGATGTGCGTGTGTGTTCTTCATGTATTTTCAACGAAAATGAAAGCATAAGCACCTGATTCATAATCACCAGATTTGATTTCCTCTCTTGCAGATGGCGAACAGAAAGGAATATCTGGTGGCCAAAATGATGGTTTTTCGGCCATTGTCCAAAAGTTTCTGACTTACGCCACACCCCACTTCATTTGTCCTTTAAATTGAAAAAGGCACAATCAATTAGCCTTTCTCATGCAGATGGCCATTTTTTGGGTACTTTTTTTACCAAGACTGCAAGCGTAAGACCGTGTAACACAATGACTTTTTATAATTTTTGGGTGTATATGATGGTAAATTTACTATGTATAATATTTTATATGTATAATATGTACTTCAATATGCTGTTTTTGGAAGTACCATGTGCCGAACCAATTCCTGGAGCTGCTGTCAGGTCCATGTTCCCCTTCTTATTCCATTCTTATTATGGGTCAACAAGGTCTGAATGAACCTCTTGGGCCTTAAATACATCATCAGTGCTCCCTATAGGGTAGCCAGCAGAGCTTTGGCCATATTTCTGGGGGGGAGTTTGAGGGCAGACCAGAGTGAAATAAAGCCAGCCAACATTCTATGCTTTTTTGAGTCGTCTGAGCGATGCAGAATTCCCATTGGCTGGAGAGCCGCTTTGATTGACAGGTTGAATATTAATCAATAATGGCAATATGGCTAACGCTCAAAGGGAGTGCGCTTGTTCAGCATTGTATTTCGAAAGCTTTAAACTCTTTAAGACAAAGGGGCTACAACGTTTTTTAAAGTGCAAACATCACAAATCAATTATCCAACTTTTTTGTAATCGCGACGTAATTGCAATTTTGCTTACAGGTTTTGGCAAATCTATGATTTACATTGTGTATGTATTGGCACAAGATGAGTGGTTAAAAATATGTGGAAATGAATGTGGCTGTTCTGTTCTTATTGTATCTCCTTTACGAAGCATAACAGAAGATCAAACAGCCTTTTTACTATCACTTAATTACATTGCAAAGGAATTGGCCAATTGCAGGCATAATAAAATCGCCACCACAGTTTATTTATTGTACAGCAGAAGAAGTCATACTATGGTTGCGACATCTTGCAGAAATTGCCGTATTCAAAGCCATCATATTGATATTTGTTTTTTTAGGGTTTTTTCCAGGGTTGCATGCACCTCGCAAATAGCTCATCCAGAAAGGACACAACAGTTCGGCTTCGTGGAGAAGGACGTTGTTTGAAAATGCAGCTATGTCATGCAGTGTTATTGCTTTCAACATAGATTTTAAGTTGAGTTGTTTCCTTCTCACTATTATATAGTTGTTCAATGTTTAACGCAAACAACACACAATCATTATTTAGGGATTCTATTCCTTCATCGTGAGATTCTTCGGAAATGCTTTCATAATTCAACTATTTTATAGCAGGAGCCGATGATTTCTTTTAGTCGGCGGGGGTTCGTTCAGGCGTTGTTACTGTGGTAGGCAAAACTCGTTTGTATCAGACAGGCGAGGTGGTTGGCAACGTTTTTGGCGTTACATTCATTGAAATTCATTAGCAAGGTTAGACCGAATGAACGTATAACATTAATTTGTATTTCTTATTTTCCGTCCACACAGTTTGCAAACACACGTAGAGAAATCTTTATGCATTAATATTGGAATTCCTATAGCAAGACACGTTTCAGCCAACGTGCATCTTTCTTTCATGCCTTTACGCATTGAGGGTTTAAAAAGATTTTCCGTGGAAACTTGTTTCATTTTTTTTATCGTTTCCATGTTGCAATTTAAATAAGCATTTACATACCCTGCAATGATTACTGAGGAGGTCATTTGCTTTCAGAGTAGGTCTCCCACGCTTTGGTTTTACGTGTTTCTTCAGAGTGTTTTTGGAAGACATGTTAATACAATAAATATAATTTAACATGTTAGATTTGTAAACAATGTCAATGCGAAATCACTTGATGAAATCGACAAGTTTCTCACACACTGTGATTGGTTCTCTTAAATAAACAACTTTGTGGGCGTAATAAAATAAAGCATAGAATGTTGGCTGGCCATATTTCACTCTGGTCCGCCCTCAAACTCCCCCCGGAAATACGGCCAAAGCTCTGCTGGCTACCTATAGGGCGAAATTAACGTACAGTCCTCGATCACTAAGGTGGCTCAATACAGTATTTTCAGAAATGAAATAAGAATGATTTATTTTGGTCCGATATTTTGGACAGTTATTACTGTTGGAAAACAAATGGGGGGTTTGAGTTTATAAAGTAACATTTGAAGAGTTTGAATTTTGTAACAAAAGTCATCTTACTGTCGTATTTCAACAGGGTGGATATTTCATCTTTAAAGTAACTTAACTCTTGAAAACATGTTCGGTGACTCCTATTTTTTTATTTCATAAAATGCTTTCTTATAAAATGTGATTATTTCTGACAAAATTTTTTTGAGTCAACAAATTTTCTTTACTGAAAATTGTGAAATAGATTTAAAATTGTATAAGAAAGCATTTTATGAAAGTTAAAAATGGGTTCACTGAACTCGTTTTCATGTTAATTTACTTCAAAGAGGAAATATCCACAATATTGAAACGTCATTGTTGTCATAGCAACGTTTGAGTTTTATATAAAGTAAAATTGGAAGAGTTTGAATTTTGTAACAGAAGTCACGTAACTATACGTGACTTCTGTTACAAAATTCAAACTCCTCCAATTTTACTTTATATAAAACTCAAACACAGTTTGTTTTCTAACACGTAATAACTGTCCAAAATATCGGACGCAAATCGTTAATTTTCCATTTCTAAAAATACTGTATTGAACCACCTTAAACATCCTAATAAAGGCCTGTTCACATGATACGATTTGTCGGATCCAATTCTGCTCCTCATGCATGTATTATAGTCACATACCTGCGACAAAATAGCGACACAAATAATTTGCACACAACTGTGTAATCTTTGACTTTGGTCGGTATAAGTGACTATACATTACATGTATAGTTGCGAAGGGAATGTTGTTCAACTACTTGAAAAATAAGAAAACGATTCGACGTTTCGAGCAAAGGCACTTTGTGAAGAAGTTTTTTTTATTATATAAACAATATTTTATTTTATTTAAATTCAAAATTTGGCAATTGTGCCAAAAGCCACTAAAGGCTTATCTGGGGCGCTCTTGACGAAGTGAAGAAGTTAGTGTGAAGAAGTTAGTGACAAAGGGCCTTTGCTCAAAACGTCGAATTGTTTTCTTATTTTTCAGGTAGTTGAACAACATTCCTTTTGCAACTACTTATCACATCGCTACCTACACTGGCACCTCCCTCACAAGATTATACATTACATGCATTAGGAGCAGAATCATATCATGTGAACGGGCCTTAAACGTTCCTTCTAATTATACATTCGAATAAAAATAATAAAATGATTTTGCTGAAGACCCAACATTTTCTTCAACATATTTGCAGAATAAATCATTGGCAGTTGTCAGAATTTCTTCTCGCAAGCCTGTTGTTGAAAACAACCACACGTTGGTATACTACAGGGTGTATAAAAAACCCGTCCCAAATGGGAAATTTCCTCAAACTCAGATATTCCGCAAAATTTGGGATATTGTGTGTAACCAAGGCAAATTAGGAGGAGTCTTTGGGTATGTGCCGGACAAAAAAAATATTTTCGAAAGTAAATTTATGCTACCAGGAGGTGCTTCTTATCGTCAAAGTTTGAAATGGCTTGCGCACAAAACTTTCAAGCTAAAATTGGGATATTATTCAACTGGTTCAAGTATGAACGGTGTTTAATAAACTGTCAAAGTTTCACAAAAAATGGTGCTTATTAAAAGGAACGCGAAACCCCTAAAGTTGCCACATTTTCCATTACGTGCAGTTGATTCAAGGCATAATTGATTTTAGCATGACCGATCTCATGCAAGGATGGGCACATAAATAAATTGAAGCAAACAATTGAACACATAAACAAAGAGATTTAATAAACAGTTGTTTTGATTCATTCAATTGTTTGCTTAAATTTATTCATGTGCCCATCCTTGCATGAGATCGGTCACGCTAAAATCAATCATGCCTTGAATCAACTGCGCGTAATGGAAAATGTGGCAACTTTAGGGGTTTTGCGTTCCTTTTAATAAGCACCATTTTTTGTGAAACGTTCACAGTTTATTGAACACCGTTCATACTTGTGACCAGTTGAATAATATTCCAATTTTAGCTTGAAAGTTTTGTGTGCAAGCCATTTCAAACTTGGACGATAAGAAGCACCCCCTCTGGTAGCATCAATTTACTTTCGAAAATAATGTTTTGTCCTGCACATACCCAAAGACTCGTAACTTGCCTTGGTTACAAAAAATATCCCAAATTTTGCGGAATATCTGAGTTTGAGGAAATTTCCCATTTGGGACGTTTTTTATACACCCTGTATAGAGTAAAGCGTTTCAAAATTATTCAGCTCAGAACCGCAAGTACTATTTACAACATGAGCGGCTGTGTTGTATCAGATATACAAACTCGAGCTGAAGGGGTGAGTTTGTATACCCAATACAACACGGACGCAAATGGCTTAAAAAACGACTCATCTTATGAGTTCATTGGCGAAGTAATTTTAAAAATAAATGTTGTCTAAGCCAAGAAAATCAAAGTTAAAGTTTATGTAAATCAACATGAATCTGTATCACATATATACAGATACGACACGCTTATGATTTTTCTTTGTGTTTTCTTCATGAGAATTAATAGAGTTTTTTAAAAATCAGTTACCAAATTGCTCGATGGTTACAGTTGTTGATTGGTTATTTAGGGTGGTGTTAATTTCATGTTGCAATAATATTTACATGAACATACAAGCATGTTGTCCCTATAATGCCCCTAAACAGGCAACACTTTCCCACTTTCTTTCTCCCATTGATGCGATGTGCAGGCCAAATTTCATATGAATACCTCAAAAACTGATGTAACCTATAAAACTGCAAAGAACCTATCTTGTCCAAGCCCTTGGATGCCATTTTATTGGTTGTCTTACTAATGTCTTACCTGTTTGATTATACAACTCTTTTTTTCTAGAGTAATCGTTGAATGCCTCTCTTTTGCTGTTCACTATCTTTTTCTAATTATACATAAACATTTTTTCAAATATAAAATGAAAGTGGTGTATTTTTAACGTATATGTTTATGCAAACTTGAGCAAGCAATTATAATCCATCACGCTATGCCTATGGCTATGCGTCTTCAGTTAGTTTAAAGTGAGTCGTCTTCAGGTCGTCATCCAATCAGATGCATGCGCATCTAGTAACTTGCCGAGCATGCGCACAAAAAAAGTACTATTTACAACATGAGCGGCCGTGTTGTATCGGATATACAAACTCGAGCCGAAGGCGAGAGTTTGTATATCTGATACAACACTGACCGTGAATGGCTTAAAAAACGACTCATCTTATGAGTTAATTGGTGAAGTAATTTTAAAAATAAATGTTGTCTTCGCCCATTTAGTGCTAAGAAATTGTAAGCAAATTGTAAACTTTCTGTGTCAGTACGCAGCTATCGGAACGATGCATGTGATTGGTTGACCGCAACATCGATTGTTTCTTATTATATATAATATAAAGTTGACGTAGTAAGGTTTAATAAATATAAAAATGTGGTCGACGAGGTCGATAGAGTCTGTGTAGTTGACAAGGTCGATAGAGTCGACATGGCCTATAAAGTCGCGCCGAGGTCGACAAGGTCGATAGAGTCGACGTGGTTGATAGAGTCAACATGGTCGATGTGGCCTATAGAGTTGCCGAGGTTGACAAGGTCGATAGTCGACGTGGCCTATAGAGTCGCGAGGTTAACAAGGTCAATAGAGTCAATGTGATGTGGTTGACAAAGTCGACATGGTCAATAGAGGTGACGTGGCCTATAGAGTCGCCAAGGTCGACGTGGTTGATAGAGTTGACATGTTATTTTATAAGTGTGTGTATGTATGCCGGAGTTAAATAGAAAATCCTAAAAACTCCTTCTGTATTGAAATATCATTTTAAGTGTTCTCTTATTAAATATCTTGAAAATCTGGAAGAGATATAGATTGCACCAGGCAACACGCAAACTACGATCAATCATGATTTCTGTCAGAAATGCAAATTAATCGCTCCTTTTTGACGTTTAATTATATCTTAAAATTTGGTGCCCAAATTACAGGAAATGATGTTTTCGGGGTTCTATTTTTCAAAACTTTCCTGGGGGAGCATGCCCCAGGACATCCTGAAAAGGTGCATGTCTCTGGTGGTTGGTTCACGCCTTCGGCGCTCATTCTTTGAACTTGGAATTTAGCCCCTTCACTATTAAATAGCTTCCGCAGCCTCTGTTTTCCCTTCTTCTATTATATAGTTTGAAACAAGCAGTAAACTCTTAGTTGTAAAAACAAACAATGATCTCCCTTCAAAGCCAAACAAATATATAGTCACCAGACGCCGAAAGTTGTGAAACATTTTGTTCGCTAGCTTGATATTGATCTTTGATTTTTGTAGCTTGAGAGAGACTGGGATCTAGGCTTCATTTTTGTCCCTATCAAATGACTTTAAAGGTTATCGCGTAAAACAATAGCGTTTCCAGTTCGTCTTCTGGATTGTAAATGGCCGCAGGCAGTTTTCCGCAAAAAACCGCCTGTCAACACTGATCTGCCTACAATAAGCTTGGTGTAGGAGACAAGAGCAAGAGAAGTCATAAGTAAGTTTTCCATGTTCATTGAGAAGTGTTTTTTTGACACCAAATGATATTTGTCAAATGTCAATGTATATCACAATCTCTTGTCCGCTTGATAGCAACTTCAGCCCTGGAATTTTGTATCCACATGACCACTTCAGTTCATCAGTTGTATTTGTTGCTGGTTATAAATAAATAATAAAAACGAGCGAAAATACTACAAATATACACAGCAGGGATATGAATGATTCTTTTTCAAGTAACGAAGAACAGGTAAGTTCTGATTTAAATATTATATACATGCAACAGTTCTCTTGCGTGTTGGCTTTTTTATAAATAGGACTTACAAAGTATCCTTTGTTCTCAACATTCTTAATATCGAATACAAAAAACTTTACTGTAAAGGATGGAAAAACTTATGTGAACGAAGATGGAACTGAGTGGGAAGAGTTTAGAGACTTTGCGGTTAAATTTACTGCAGACTTAACCGAGAAAGGCAGAGCAGGTGAAGGATATTGGCTTTGTCAATGTTCAACTCTTGTGAATAGAGATATGGTATCCAGGTGAGTGTTTTGCATCATTGTTGTCGTTTCATATATGAAATAATTAAATATTGATATTGCCTATCGTTCTTTTTACTTGACAATGTTGACTGGTTACAAGGGTTTTTTTTATTTGGTTTAATTATTTTGACATCAGAAACAATCGGAGGGAAGCAATTTTTATACCATGTTTACATTTATATGGGTCATTATGACACAGTAAATCAAAGCTCAATCACTCATTTTGGGGTATACAGTGGTTATATTTACGGGCCAGTAAATATTTACGGTGCTAGGGTTAGGGGTTGTTTCAATCTAAACCCACAACGCTTTATCGCTACATATTTATACTATACAAATGCCCTGAATTATGTTGTCATTACTGTATTAAATAGTTTAATTTAGCTTTAATATGTTCGCACATGTTCGCATTCATTGGCATTATATTCGTATATTTTTCCCTATCATTATGTTCAAATTAATAGC